GGGGGGAGAGAGAAACGGACTGGTGTTCTAAATGATGGCTACAGTGTCCCAAGTGAAAAACCTGACAGCAACGGGGAAATTACCTTCTCATTGTCTCGAAAATTTTCTTCTTTCACCTCCTTTCCTGGTTTCTAATCAGGTTCAGTCATCTGCTTTCATCTCCACTTTCTGCCCCCTCTCCCCCCTTCTCTGGGCTGCTGATTCTTTCTACTTCATGGCTCATTCTTACCTCTATCTTTCAGCAACATAATTAATCTTAGGGTAGGTAAGATTGAACACCTAGCCTTCTCGGATAATATTTGTGCCCACATCCGATCTGGACATTGGAGATTGCCTCGTGGCGTCGGTGGCCTAGTGGTTAGGCTCTCGGACTCGCAATCCTCACTTCACCCAGGTGGGAATGGGTACCCGGCTATAGACAGCAAAAGATCTTGTCAGTTTGTTAGTGTTTGAGCGCTTAATTAGCTGCTTGCACTGTATGCTTCGAGAATGTTTCGGAGGGTTCTATGGTCTGCTGAGGTAATAATATAGTGTAAAGCGCATAGAGCCTGCTGTTGAGCGGGGACATGCGCTATACAAATGCTATTTATTATTATTATTTTGTTAGTGAGACAACTTCCTGGGCCTTTGGCATAATGAGGTAGGGTGGCCAGTTCCTTTCCACGCCGCCTTTACTTTTCCAACGCGAAGTCAGGTACACATTACTGCTGGGTGGGGAGGGGGGTGAAAAAAATCTGTGCCTGAACCGAGGCTCTGGCCCGGACTTTCTGCTTCGGAGATGAGGGCACTAACCACTCCGCAACCGCACCCTTCTCGGATACGGACGAAAAAATGTCAGAGGTCCCATGTGGAGGTTTTGAAATTCCATTGGTGGTCCTAATATAGATCGATAACAGTAGGCTACAGCCGCCGCAAGAGTAAAATTCAAAATTAATTCTCATAAGCCCTTAAGCAGTTGCAAGCGCTGTAAAACACTTACCTAAACAAAGAAAAAAAAAAAAGATTTAAAAGCAAAAGGCCAAGAGCACAGCTTCAACTTTCACAGGATTTACGAGCTTGCAATTCTGAATTAAACCCACTCTTTACCATACTAGCAGATCATAAGAAAAATATAACTTTAATAGCCTCTACTAGTAAACAATCTTTAGAACTATGAACAACGGAAAATCAATCACAACCTATATATAAGCTCTGTGCCTTTATCACGGTACTACGAGTATAGCTTGTTCACTTTCGTCTGACAAGAGTTTTTTAAAAATTCTTACTCATTGAGGAATCCTACCTACACCCACGAAACTCTGCACGGCACTTCTGCAGGCCAGAGATTCCAGTAATAAAAAGGAAAATATGTCAACTTTAAAATGTTTCTGGTGTATGCTGTAAATCCCCTATTACTTTTTTGACCCGCTTTGGGTTTACATGAAAGAAAACGTGTCGGAACCTTAGATTACAGTGACTTTTATGAACAGATAGGCTTTTAGATTCTGTTGGTCGCTTAACTTTTAGACCCGTATGAAAAGACCCAGAAATATTAAAGAGAGCGATTTATTTTTATCCCATTTTAACAGTGGTCAGACGAAAGTGAACGAGCTATACTGAGCATGACGGTTGTTTAATTACACTCCGGCACATATGAACTACAACTTCCACGAACAATGTTGAACAGGCAATCATTTTGAATCCGAATTGGTTCAGAAAAAAAAAAGATATAATGAATGAGCAAGTATTCTTTGTCAAATTGTAACACTGTGTCAAAGATTTAGGCCTAGAGTCTAGATTCTAGATCTATATATCTAGATTTAACCATAATAATAGGTTACAGATGACATTACATGCTTCAAGCAACTGAGCAGGATCTTCCAACAAGACAAGCATATCTATCTACATAGAGAGAAGGCACATCTAGGAACATCTTGGCCTGATTATACACAGACTATTTTCTGCGCAATTTTGTTTTCAAACACATTCTTGGATACAGTACTGTCGTATCACACAGTGCCATAGTGCACCAGTCCAGATAGGCAGCAGTCCCTCCATCAACTAACATTACTAAAAACAACAGATTCCCCCCCAACAAAGCCCCATTCATTCACATTCACATCGTATTCCTTACCTTGTTCTTGATAAGTAAGCAACACTAGCGAACCAACACTAGGCCTACAGTTTATTACACACCGGATCTAACAGTACACTCACCTAAGCGACTGTGCTAGGTGCAGCATTCCAGGTGACCCGTCCCTTTCAGTCAGCTATCGATTTGTTCCTTTCTTTCAGAGATCAATCTGTGTTCATTTTAGTCAGAATGTAGAAGCACTTGCCCAGACACGAATTTTCCGTTCGATCTTTCATTCTCAAATATATGTCAACGAGAGAACCGCTGAGTTATTGACCACATGCAATTAACTGCAGGGTAGGCCTACAATTTAGATTTTAGATCGATCTCCAAGTGGCAAGTGGTGAAGATTTAAGATCTAGATCTATCCTAATATCCCGCGACTTGTGATAAACCAGTCGAGGCAGTATTGTTTTTATCGGCGTTAATTTACAATCGTGGATCACGCCCAGACTTGTTTTCAGCTGTTTATTAACAGGTGAAAGTGACCACAGCCTCCCTTTTAAAGTCACTGACGTAAAATAAAAAATACAAGTCTTCTCATTTGCTCATCTCTCCTTTCTCCTCTTGCCCTTTTTCACATCGATTTTTTACTGCGACATCCTCACGCTCAGATTTCCATAGCAACACATGTAAATAGAAACTAAGAGATTGACTGGATTGTAGCCTGTAACATTTTGGGGACAAGAATAATTTAGAGTCTTTACAGTTCTGTAGGACTCCTGTTAGTAAAATTAGATGAATTAGACCGTAAATGTGTCAGGTATTTTGGTAAGTGCTATAAAACTAGCCTAAGAGGGCAAGACAAGCAGCGAAGCAATCAATCGTGTTCTTGCTCCGCACAGCAGTTGACACAGCAGTTGCGCATGCTCGGGGCGGTGACAAATTTTATTCGAAAGATTGTCAACCCAGCCCATCGTGTAAACACGGCGATGGTGTCGCATTGTCGTTTGCGTTTGGACGACCTGCTTGTCTTATTATGGAAATTTTAAATGTTCTGCCCGGTTGTTGTGAGAGTGTTTAGCCTAGTTAATTATTTTCAAATATTCTTTCCCAGGAGATGAACTAATAATTGGCAATGGCGAGGAAATTTACACCTATATCATTGGCGGCTGTCGCCATTTTGCTGCTAAGGACGCCATTCTGCAGTGGTGAGCTTCCATTTTGACTCTAGATCTAGATATCTAGATCTGGAATCTAGATTAGTTGTTTTCGTGCATGCCTTAATTTTTCATAGTTATAGATCTAGACCTAATCATTGTATCACATATAGGCCTACACTGACAGACAATTGTGATTGTATAGATATATTCTTTGTGTACAATTTTGCTTCTCAGTATACCATCGTTCTTCTGAAACATTTACTTTTTAATTTATAGGCCTATAGATCTATAGAAGAACGCTATGATATAATATATAAAGGCCTCTAATATGTAGGCTATCATATATATTATAGGCTCATTTGTTAACAAGTAGTTAGGGAAGGGAGGATGGAAGAAAGACAATTTTGTTCTGCTAGTGCGGATTTTAAAAAAAATTAAAATTAAAAAGATACTAAAATTTAGCAAGTTGCCATTATGTTACATAGCAACCTAAATGTTTTGTGGAGGAGGGTCCCTTAAAATTTCTTTTAAAAGCATAGCCCAGTAGTGCAGCCTGTAAGTATAATGCCTATAAAACAGCTCTTAAGTGAGGGCTGTGAGGGCAAAACAAATGTAATTTTAGTGTTATGAAGAAATGTGCTTCATGTCATATGAATAGAATGTTATCACATTTCTGAATTGTTCTAACTCATAAACTTTTTAATCTCCTTTTGTTTGTCATCATTTTAAGTCACTTAAAGTCTCATTTAATACTCCGCCCCAAGTCTCTCTCTCTCTCTCTCTCTCTCTCTCTCTCTCTCTCTCTCTCTCTCTCT